CCTCTTTCCCTCGTCCTTTCTGCATCTACTATGCAGGGCTTCTCTCAGGCCTTAGAGATACAGAGTTAATTAAAATATGGTCCTACCCCTAAGATGCATACAGTCCAGGTAAGGCAGAGAGTGGGGGGAAGGAAGCTCTCCCCACTTAGTGTAGCTCACATGCAACCTATGATGAGCTAATTTTGTCAGATTCTTGAACCCAAGTGCCCTTTCCATCTGATTGCTGTGGACTTCCCTTGTTAGGCATCCCTACCGCTGATAGATCTTCTAGATCCTCAGGCAGGAAACTTTTCCCACCGCCCCCAAGGCACACACCAATTAAAGAAGCAGCCACAAATGGCACTTTGCCAGTCGATTTCTTATGGCTGCTTAAAGTTATTCCAGCCCCCCTAAAAGGAAACACAATTTGAAAAGATACATGCACCCCAATGTTCATTGCAGCACTCTTTACCATAGCCAGGACATGGAAACAACCTAAGAGTCCATCGTCAGAGGAATGGATAAAGAAGATGTACACGTATACAATGGAATATTACTCAGCCATCAAAAAATGAAATAATGCCATTTGCAGCAACATGGATGGACCTAGAGATTGTCATACTGAGTGAAGTCAGACAGAGAAAGACAAATATCATATGATATCACGTATGTGTGGAATCTAAAAAAATGGTACAAATGAACTTATTTACAAAACAAATAGAATCACAGATGTAGAAAACAAACTTATGGTTACGTGGGGGAAAGTGGGATGGGGAGGGATAAATTGGGAGATTGGGATTGACATATACACACTACTATATATAAAATAGATAATCAACAAGGACCTACTGTATAGCACAGGGAACTCTACTCAGTACTCTGTAATGGCCTATATATATGGGAAAAGAATCTAAAAGAGTGGGTATATGTATATATGCAACTGGTTCACTTTGCTGTACATCCGAAGCTAACACAGCATTATAAATCAACTACACTCCAATAAAAATTAAAAAAAAAAAAAAAAAGAGGAAACAAAACCCTCTTATAAATAACGGCACTGTGACTCCTCTAAAAGGGAGGATTTTTGACTATCTCTAAAAGGTAGTCTTTGGATACAGGTCTATGATTTCTTGATTTTAATGAGAAATATTTCCTATTCCCTTTCACTGATAATAAGATGAGCATTTTGATTCAAAGTTGCAGAAATGCTCCTGTTGATTTTTTCAAATTCACTCAGTGAGTTTCTGCAAAACAATGGGTAATGGTTTCAACATTTTGAAGTGATAAGCCAGACCAAAGTAGTCTTGTGCTTCAGAATCTGCCAGATTTGCCAAAGCATAGAGGCAATTTGTAGCATGAAGCCAGT